TTGTTTCTCAGCCAAAACACCCAGAATGCCAAAAACAGTTGTAGTCCAATTGCTAAAGTTGCCTCTTTAATTGTTAGTGTTGCAATCGAAAACACAAATTTGTACACCTCTGTTTGAGAGCCTGATTTTCCAGTGACCTGTCTCATGCAGGCAAACTCATGGAAAGCAGAGGGTCTTCCTCTTCAAGCACATTGCTGTTGACATGTGGGAGAGCAACAACACCAGAAACAGAGCGAGCATGTCTCCCTCTTCCTGTAGTGAGTGTAAACAGATAACACCTGAATAGGGGTCTAGGCATATATTTAATAAACATATTTCAGATGGAATGGAAGGTGGAGTGACAAAAATAAACTAGGATTGTGAGGATAATGTTCTAGGCATTTCACCTTTTATACTCCATCAACAAGTGTTGCATCTTTCAGGAGTGTGTGGCACAGCGTGTAACTCTTTTCTCCTTTGTACTGCTAAATTCTCAGGTACAAATTGTTCTGCTGGAGCCCAATCACTCTTTTAATCTGCTAGCAAGGGCCATTTCTCAACAGCTGCCACCTGCCTGTCTTTAAATCTATCTGGGAGATAGGCAGCCTAGGAGANAAGAGGGTCCCCCCCCCCCCCCGTGCACCTAAGAAGAACACAGAACAATCTCAGATAGGCTTTTAAAAAGCGTGTGTGCAATACTGATACCAAATTGGACAGTAAAATGTAACACTCTTTAATGGTCTGACCTAACAATTCAATTTCATTAGATAAGCGGTGAACTCTAACCCATATTTGGATAATTGTCTGTGACTGACATTTCAAAAACCCAGCTAATCTGGATAATTCATATCATAACTGTAACTAGCATGTAACTGTAATTAAATGTAAATGTCACTATAATGAGAAAGGAGACAAAACTGGCATGGGAGGTAGGAAAGCCAAGGTCCAACATAGAGATGGGCACTTCATGTTTCATACATGAAGGACCACAGGTGGTGCTGAGTTCCATCTACCTCCTCCCAGGCCTCTTGGTCCACTTACCAGGCTCTGCATGCTGCTGGGGTCCCTCTTTGGCAGCATTGTTCCAACCCAGGTAGGAGCCCAGCCAGTCATTCCCCACCTCCCCAGGCAGCCAGCTGCTTACTGGATGTGCAGGGAGACTCCCTGTCCCGTCTCCTCACCAGAGTGTTTGGCTGCCTGAGGAGGCTGGGAAAGGAGGCATGGTGGGAGGGAGATGGAACTCAGCACCACTTAAGATCCCAAACAGGGTTGGCACGAGGACACAGCCCTGTTTCACTCCGCTTCAGATGTCAAAGGGATCTGATGCTGAGCCATCAAAAACTACAGTGCCCTTCATTTCCTCATGAAAGGTCCTGATGATGTTATGGAGTCGAGGTGGACATCCAATCTTGGGAAGTATTTTAAAAAGGCCGTCCCTGCTAACCAAATCAAAAGCCTTTGTAAGATCTATGAAGGCTCAAGGATTGGCTGTCATTGTTCCCTACATTTCTCCTGCAACTGTCTGACGGAAAATATCATGTCAGTGGTGGATCTATGAGCTCAAAATCCACACTGGGATTCTGGATAGACTCTGTCTGCAAGCATCTGGAGTCTCTTCAGCACAAAATGAGTAAGCAGCTTCCCTACAACGCTGAGAAGAGAGATGCCACAGTAGTTATTGCAGTCACCTCTGTCTCCTTTGTTCTTATACAACGTGATGATGTTCGCATCCTTCCTGTCCTGTGATACTCCACCTTCCCTCCAGCAAAGACAAAATATTTCTTCCAGCTCTGTGGTGATAATCTCTTTACAGCACTTCAGCAGGAATGTCCAAATGGGCTTCGAACCAGTCTGCCATCTTTTTGGTCTTTTCAGGTGCCTTGCCGGAGGCGAGGGAATCCAAGATCACTTTTATTTCTGCTAAGGTTGGTTTGCTGTCCGACTCTTCCGAGACAGGTAGGCACTTGATGTTATTTAGTGCCTCTTCAGTTCCTACATTCTCTCTGGAATATAGCTCAAAGTAGTGCTGCACCCAGCCTTCCATCTGCTGTGCTCGGTCCTGGATGATCATGCCTGTAGCAGACTTCAAAGGAGCAGATTTCTTCTATATCGGATCTAAAGCCTGCTTGATACCACTAGGACAGGCTTTGTATTCTCCTAGAGCTCTCCTCTTTTCCTTGATGGCTGGCATCAACTCCTCCAAATGGGATTCGAACCAGTCTGCCACCTTTTGGTGTTCTGGCCAAATGTGAACAAGGCAGTGTTATAAACAGTGTTCTTGAAATCGTTCAGGTGCATTTGCATCCAGAGGATGCAACATCCTTAATGTTATGTTAAATGTGAATTGCTGGTGATCAAGATGGTTGGAAACTACCTCATCTTAGATTTTAGCACCTCCACAACCACCCCACTCTTCTGCACCGGTTCAAGCAATCGCATTGCCTGAGCAAATGGATCAGATGTTAAAAAATTGTAGAAGCCCCAGCAATAGAGGCAAAAACCATGGATTGAGTGCGAGACTCTGGGCTGATTCACATTTGTTTTTACATCATATGGTCAATGGGGGGAAAAAAGGCAAATCACCCAATTTCAATCATTTCTCGCTTTTTTGCCAATGTGGTTGCCCCTTGAATCAGCTACTGCTGCCACTGTTGCTTAAAATTGGAAAACTGTACCAAGTTAAACTAAAAGCAATCAATCTTTCCCCCTCAAAACATCAAGGAGGTGGATCTATTACACTGCATGCCATAACACAGTGGTTCTTAACGTGGGCAATAATGCCCCCCAGGGGGCGATTTCATTTTTCAGGGGGGAGGTAGAATGAAAAGGGGTGGCATG